AGCATCCAAATTCCCCAAAATCCTCTATGATTTACCCACCGCATCATCAAAAACCGGATCGCTATCATCTTTCATGTCTAAACCCACAACCTCCAACGTTACGAAGCCGTGCAGGGATATCTTTATCTTCTCCGCAGCAAACATCTCCGATGCCATCATGGAAGGCCACTTCATCAATGAGCTCAAACCAGAGATTAGAACATATAGACATAGTATATAAGATTTATCTCTGTAATCGGCTAGTTTTGGGGGGTTGGGAGATTTTAGGGCGTAATTATTACGGTTATTAGAAGTTTTAATTTGTTCAAGTGTATTAATATAATTTGTTCACTTTTTAGAGTAATGAGCCTAATTTTCCCTAAGAAAAATGGTGTCGGTCCGCCCTTGATTGAGTCCAAGCCCAAACCAACCAATACAATCCAAACTGACCCAAACTTGATCAATTTGGGTTTGGTTAGATTGAGTTGGGTTTAAACTAATAATTGAGTTGAATTGGTTTGATTTACATATAAAAATCACGTTTCAAAACTAACAAACTCCCTAAAATATTTCATAAATTAGATGATAAATCAAATTATTAAATATATAATTATATTATAATATACATTTATTCCCTCTCTACATTAATTGACATTAATTTAATAATCCCCACCCACCCACCCCACCCCACCCAATCTCCAGAAATTCAAATCTCTTTACACTCTCCACCCCAACGAACCCAACCCCCATCCTACCTCCCTATAGAAAATTCCAAAAATTAAAAATGTTCTCTTTCTACAGAAGATTTCTCTCTATACATATTTACAGACACAAATAATTTTACAGATAGTGGTGGTGGTGATGGGCGCTGTGTTAGAAAATAGATTTGCGCGGTGGCGGTGATGGTGCATTGCAGGTGATAAAAGTGCATCAGAGTTGATCTGTTTAATGGTGGTGGTGGTGGTAAAGTTTTAAGTATTGTGTTGTGGTAGTAGTGTTGCATTTCAGTTGACTAGATTAGTGGCTAACTGTGTTATATGTGACTAGATTTATTGATTGTGACCATACATGTGTTATCCGTGACTAACTGTGACCAGATCGTTTGTGACCAAGTCAGTCTAATTTGTGATTGTATGTAACCAAGTTACATATATTATTTGTGGCTAATTGTGATCAAAATTTGTATTCAGTGTAACTGTCTGTGACCAAATCGATCTAATTTGTGACTCACTGTTAATTTGGTCATGGACAGTCACAATGAAAACATAATTGGTTACAACCGATCACAATAAATACATACTTGGTCACAAAGGATCACCACAAATAAATGTGCACGCACCAAATACCAACACTACAATCCACGACCACTCACCACCACCTCCACTCCAATGCACCACACTACCACCTTCAACTCAAGTTTACTTCACCTCAAAATCCAGAACACCAATCACCATCACCATCACCATCACTTCCACCAACACCTTCAACAAACACCAAC